ACGACTTTATTACATCGAATTTTTTATATGTTGACAGGTGCGAATTATTGTATGATACATTAAGACCGTTAGATAACAGTATATAATTTTGCGATTAATTGCCATCAAGATCGGTAAATTCGCGAATAAGTCCGAGTTGAATTTTGTTCAGTAGTTAAATAATATAGAACTATAGTTTTAACATTTTCGTCCTATAAGCGAATAGTCTTAGCGGGGATGCTAACGGCGTCAAAGAGGGGCGGAGAAAGGTGTCACCGTGAGAGGAGAGAAAGAAGGAAGAAAGACAACACCTGCGCGCGTGCGTGCGAAAGAGAGGAAGAGGAGACGAAGGCAAGGGAGGGGATATGGAATTATCGTGGAAGAGAGATGCGAAGGGTGAGACATTGGTGAAGCTGAGGTTAGAGGGGTGCAAGGAACCACCATCGTGGCAAACGGGTCGATCGAATGCGTGTGCAAACATTTTCCGCGTGCGTTTCTTCGCGTATGCGTAGAAAATTCGGCCAGTAAAGAGGGAGCGAGAGATCGATGGGGGGTGGTATGAACGAAAACAATAGAGAATTTTTCTATAAATCGTGAGAATTTAACAAAAAGTGAAAGAAAATGTCGTCGCGCCATTTTCTATCTCCCCTCATGCTTCTATTTGTCTGTTCGTTCCCCGCCTCTTTTTTCACTTTTGTGTGTGAAGAATTGACGAAAATGGCGAAATGGCGAAATGGCGAAAACAAGACCCGGAAAAAGCGGATGAATAAATCTCACGTCACGCTCTGATTGAACTCGTGCGCGAATTATCGCGCAAGTATAACATTTGTTTGTCCAACGTATGAGATAACTTTTAAATCGATACCTTATAATTATGACGACATCATATCCAAATGTTCGTTGATACGCGGGAAATATATTTACTTATTGATCTAAAATGAAATAAAATAAATTGCAAACATTACAAATAGAACACGCGACTTGAAAAGTGAAAAAGTAAAGAGACAAAAATATCTCTCGTGTCTCTCTCCCCGCGTTGAACGCATAGACGCATAGAGAATTCGAGATAGCCGAGGCGCGCGCGCGCGCGCGCGGACTTGGCGCTCGCGCGGCCGTCGCACGTGCGTGCCTGCGTGTGTGCGCGGGGAAGCTGTGACTCATCCTGTGGGAGAGGGAGAAGGAGAACGAGTCCTGTTTCCCGCGGCAGGAAACAAC